GTAAGCTACTGTTGCCTTCCCTTGTTTTCATTTGAACCCTAACCCCATTCCCAACTCGCCTGCAATTCAACGCAAAGGGTTACCTGTAATCGTACCCTTACGAGCTCACCTACAAGGCTCGGATCACTTTGCTTGGCTAGACGCCATCCGTTCAGAAGCGCGGTAATGTGTGCGGGTGTCTTTTCCGCTTAGGATGCAAGTTTCGAAGCTTCTTCATTTTACAGCCGAATTTTTTTATCATAACGTTCGCTGTTAACATTGTCCGTTGTGTGAGACGATAGCTTATGCAACGACCGGGTTTTAAATAACGTTCATTTTGGAAGGTGTTTGCTGTCCTGTGAACTGTATTCGCAGAAGCTGTTTGAGTTAATGATCAAAGGATTTTGCACCAGTCTGTCATAAATTATTCCATTTTGCCGAAGTTTAAAGTTACTGACCAAACTAGTGGAGGCATGAGATTAGACTGTCGATGTATTCTGGACTTGTGAAACTGCATGTGAAGGTAAGTCACAGCGGAATCGGGCGTGAGAACGCTTCGTTTGAGGATTTATTCTGGTGCACTTTGTTGATAGCAGGTCAACAGATGACCTAAGACTTCATAGTCTCCAAATTGTCCTATTTGAAAATCCGCAAATTTCCATCAATTATATCCATCAGCAAGCACTTTGACTCGCCTAATAGTTAATATCTCCTCCAGCAAAGAAACTGTCACCTGGGCTAAACCGACATATATCATGGACGTTACAGCTGCCATCCAGACTGCCTTTGAGGCTACATCCATGTAGACTGAGTGGAACTATACATTTCTGTTGCCACGCTCGTATGGCCGTATGGCTCGTATGGCCGTCAGGTAAAAAATCTAGATGGCCTTTCAAACACTGATTCGTATATTGGCCTTTATCTTTCGGTAATATTGACGAATAAATACGGAGGTTTTTCATAAAGAATTTGCGTGGCGCACAAGTTGTCCTTCGGTCATTATTGCAGCTGTATCCAGAGATATAAACTTACCACAGGGTAATTTCTGGGGTAGGTACTGCTCGGCCTTCATTGCAGTCAAGGCAATGGAGATTTTACGGTAAGAAAATCCTGATAGGTGTGGCAAAAGCCTTTCACTTACGCCCTCCAGTGCGTCAGAGGAGCAGCTGGTAACCTAACTGGGCTGATATTTAATGTATTTAAATAGGCCTACTTCAAATTATTCAGTAATACTATTTTAGTTGATCGATTTCCGGCTGTGTGCAACTTTTTTTCAGGCGCCGCGAAGGATAAGACGGGGCAATCAAATGGCGCGCATTGTACGGATGGTATTATTAAGAATGTAAAATATTGGCCGCAGTATGTATAGTTGACTTCTTATGGGAAAAGCCACTGCAGGCGTAGTTTCAAGCATTAAGTAAAAGCTAGGGCTCCTGTGTGCGTGGTAGCGTAGACCAATCGCTTGAACTCTCACAAGTCGTCCAGGATGCTTTTCAAAGGGTATGTAAATGTGGATACCGTACGCCGCCGGGCCTCCCATGACTTTTATTGGTGTCTGGCGAATGCTACAAGCAAAATGCCGCAGGTTGCAAAAGGCTGGTAATCCCTCGCTAGCCAAGATTAAATAGGATTGTAATACTGATTATCGTGCAGCCTAATCTCAAGTCATTTCAGTCATGTCCAGATACCGGCTTTTTAACGAGCTTTTTCCTGACCCCTTACAAAAAGCAAATTATGTAAAAAGATGGCCACTTAATTAGTGTGCATTTTAGTAATTGATTTGGACTTCCTTTATTAATTCAAATATATTTTATAGAAACCATTCACGGAAACATCCTTTCTTGTACTCGTTTGTTAGAAAATTATGCCTTCTTTAAATTTTATACTTAAAAAGGCCATCCTTCACTTGTAGAAAGATTTCTAACTGAGAGATTTTTACGAATGTGAGGTGTTCATTCATAATATCGGTCAACTTATTATTGTTGCCCATAATGTATAGAGCATGACCCATATCTATTGCAAAATT